AAGGCGCCCATTGTCTCAATTGCAGTATCACATATTTTAATAATATTTATTTATTACTAATATTTAATTTATTATTTTAGTAATAATTAAATTTGCCATGAGATATATTTAATTTAAAGTTATATTATATATGTTGTATTGTTTTAGGGTGTATCTTTGTAAACAATGGCAGGAATTAAAAGTCCTAAACGATCACACAGCCGCTGCCACTGGCGTTCGTTTCGGAAAGCATGCACAATATATCGCGTCTACTAGCATGGATAGAACATTAAAACTGTATGGATTATCATAAATATAGAAGTATACTATTATTTTTAATTGGATTAGACGATTACTTTATAAATGTCTAATTGATTCGATAAATTTTGATTTAATTTTTTAAAAATGTTTATGTATTATTAAATAAAAAGCTTAGAATAAGTAATAAATAATGAACGTAATAAATTCGTATTATTGTAAAATCTATTTAATCTTTTTGCATTTTGGACAATGTAATCTTCAAAATTTTATGTAAATTAGTAACTTTTAGGAGTATGTTTTTTCCTTTCAAATACGGATTGTACGAAGATTTTTCAGCTTAGTCATAACATTTGCAAAAGTTTTTACAAAAGTATACTATCTTTATGTGCAAATAAATTACAAGTGCGACTGTAAATTACAATTTTGTCTTTAATCATTAAACCATATACGTGCATCTTATAGAAAATAAATATTTTATATAATAATATCTAAAGTGTTATTTTCTATATAATTCTCTTAAGTAAAATTTTATAAATGTAAAAAAAAGTCTAGGAATACCCTATTTTTAAATCTATAATGTAATAGCTACGACACACTGATTATCGTGCAATTATTTATTCTCACTTGTCCGTGGTTTAATTTATTGTTCAAATTTGATTATGTAATTAATTTACACTTCCTCATAAAGTATAATGAACAATAAAATATTAAACAAAATTACATTTAAAAAATATCAATATGTAATTTAAAAAAACTTGAATATTGAATAAAACAAAACCACAGATGTCCCAAAAGTATTAAACCTTTATTAAGGTAATATGGTGGAATCCCATTAAACAAGTTTTTTTATCATAAAAATTCTTTATAAATAAATACGCACGCGCACGTTTGTGTAAAATCACTTATCTGTTATGTGTAATAAACACATGTACGTCTTCAATGAACCAAGAAGAGTATTAATTTTTGATTATACATACATGTTATCTTTTAATTATGTATATACGTACAAAATAGCTCATACTACTGATTACTTCGTAAAACTATAGGAAAATTTTTTATATAGGCAATTATTATAAATACCAACTCACATAATATTTTATGAGTATTCTAATTATACAATAATTCATAATCTTACAGTAAAAATCATGATTCTTGATAGCTATCTTAAACTATCTGTTCTTATTGCTCTATCATTTACTCTACTTAAAAACAATTCATAATACTTAGTATATAGTCTGCTGTCAATCGCAACCATTTTGTCTTTGTAGATAAACTCATGACATCGAGGATTTGCTCAAGGCACTTGCTTGTTACTTTTTTCGTATAGTTTTGTATACGGTGTAAAATACATACACACATTTTATAAATTATATAATATTTTAAATATCTAACAATTTTTCTAGTTTTAATATAATCGTGTAACACACCATGTAACATAAATAATTCTTTTTATATATACAACACGAAAAAATTGTCATTTCGTGAAATCAAGTTACTTGCACATTTAAAGAGAGAGAGTTTAAAGAAGTTATTTCGATTAGCAAGATAAATTTTTGCAATTTTCTGAAAATCATGTAAATACATGATTATCACAGAAATACACGATTATACGTAGAAATCTACGTATAATTGGTCATCAAGTACGAAAATAATAATATAGTAATTATAGAGGAAAACTCACTTTCTCGTGCTTTTTATGACACTATTTAATGTTAATAAGAGGATAACTTTGTGTGACCTATTTTTATAAGTGTTTAAAATCTCATCATTTTCAAACAGTACATAACAAAAATCAACGTGTCATTTCTCGCGCATATCAGGATCAAATTTTTCCTTTTTTTTCAATCTTTCTACAATTTTTTTGTAAATATTAATAAAAAAAATGTGATAATTACTTTTGAAGAAAAAATTTAAAATTTTTATCGATCTTCAATTAAAAAAATGTTTTCATCATTTTACTCTATTTTAATTCTGTGATAAATTACACAAAGATATGATTTTTGGATAATCACCAAATTGCACTGTGCGGTCAAAATGACCTCTAAGTTTTGAATGTGCATATAGAACACAAATTACTTGATCTCACGAGATGAAATACATCTCTATGCTTGATTTAATCTTTATTTTCACGGACATATCGACTTTTGATGTGTATGAAAAATTCCGTCACACGGTGTTAACAATTATTGTAAAATGTCTAAATAAATTTCTTAAAAAAATTGAATATCGTTGCAACTGTTACAACTTTTCTATGGATAAGATACATGTAAAGACGTATAGAAAATATCGTCGCTCTTGTTATAGAATATTAACTTTGGAAGCCCTATTTTCTAATGTCATGCGTAACATGCATACTAGCGCGCACGCACACATACGCATTGAATTATAAAATTTATAATAAAACTATACAATTATTCGAGAAATCATACTTTTGGCATAATTCGCTGAACGTTATCTATATTATAAAATATGATGTATATTTCTCGAAAACTTACTACTCTTGAAAAATTTTAAAAAGATGCGCATTATTACAGGCTAAGATACATCACGTTTCGGTATATGACAGATTAATACTCACTATATAAAGTAGATATATAAACGCTTGAATGAAAAGATTAAAGTATTGTAATATTCCAAAATTCGGCAATTCCAATTATTCAAATATAAAAAAGACAAATATCGCAACAATTCCGAAGATAATTTATGAACAAAAAATTAATGTAATTTCTATCAAAAATAATACTAAAAAATTTACAGAAAAATTGTTTTACTGTCATAATAATCACTCTAGTCTCTTAACACCTTTATATTCTTAAGGCACATTGTCACACATGCTCTTTTTAGTTTTTAACAAGTTTTATAATTTTAGTACAAAAATAGAATCCTTCAAGTAAAAAAGAAATTTTGTCGTAAAATTGCATATAATATTTATTACTTGAAATTGCATAATATTCAAAAATACTTTGTACATTTTAACATGAAAAATTTATCCTTGAAGTAGTCTGAATCTTTGTATCTTTAACACATTTTCTTAAGTTATTTATTCACTATTTTACATATTGTATACTAGATATACAAGATATTCCCGAACGTTTTGGCCAGGCTTATAGGAAATTTTATCTATCTTTTTGATTTTATATAGAAAATTTAATACTGAACAAGTTTCCTATAAATACGGATTGAAAAATGCTTCCTTAAGTTAACGCCCAAAAACCTCTAAAACTATGATTATTTCATACATTTTTAAACAAAAAATACGAAACAAAAATTGTAGTAAATTCAATTATCTTTAAAATGAAATCAAAATGATTATAATATGTTCCATAAGTTTTGAGATAACCAGTCTTAAATGTACAAGTGTTTCTCTTCGGCAATAAAACTTTTTTAATAAACTTCGTATTTATGCTGTTATAGACATAGCTAAAGGTGAAAAAAAAAATAAAAAAACGTTCGGGGACACCATGTATAATTATACATAGAGCAAGAAAATAAATGATAAAGTACCATTTGTCATTACTTGTCACTAGCGTGATCAACATTTTCATTCTGTGTATTATTAAAATAAAAATGGAGTCGAAGAAAAAGATTAAAGTCAGTATTCATAGTCGAGTCTCTTACAATCTATTTAAGACCATCTTAAGTGCATTGTTGAGCTTGAGATGTCATAAATTAATCACAGAACTGTGTTAACATCTTAAGATATTAACCTCTATGAAGCTGGTACCCCATTGTCAAAATTTCGATTTAATTAATAGAGTTCTGGCTCTTCCTCAAAAAGTTCTAGAAATTTCTACAAAAGTTTTAGAACTTTTGACAATGGGAGGCCATCTTTACAAAGACAAGATATTATTTAAGATGATCTTGAAATAAGACTACGAACATCAGCTTAAGAATAGAGATTTGTGTTTGGTCCCAACAAGTTAAGAATAGGTGAAGAAGAGAGAGTTCGGTTGTACTGCTAAAGACAAGAGCATTAGGAATGATATTGGGAATTCATTGAAGCACCAATTGTGTATACGCAAAAGACTATTATCTTTGAGCAACTTCAAAATACTCTTCTTAAGTATTCAATTTTAATATCTTTAATTTGCGAACTCTGATCCAGTCTATTGAGAGATTTATAGATCTCTATAGTCTTTTCTCCTCTCCAGTAATTGTTTATTATGAATTTTTCGTTATTACTTCTCGTTAACAGACGTAGTTAAAGCAGTCAAATCGTTATTGTTGGATGTAACTTTCTGTTTGCTAGGATTGCTAGTCTTTTTTTCATCGAAATGCCGTTTTCGGTGCACTTTCATGTTGTCACGACGATTGAATTTTTTACCACATTCCGGACATGCGTGCGTCTTTTCTCCATGTACATGACGATGAGCAGCCAAATGACTCGCTTGTGCAAAACTCGCGCCGCACTCTTGGCATATGTGTTTACGTAAACCTTCATGCTTTAATAAATGCTCATTGAGAAACGCTTTAGAAGCATAACGATTATTGCAAACATTGCACACAAACGGTTTAGGATTTGAGTGCTGCATTACGTGCGCTTTATACTTGGAAGCGACTTTGAAAGTCTTGCTACATATATCACACGTATATGTAGTCGCATGGCGAGTTTTAATATGTTCGTTTAGCACCGATAGACTCGAGTAAAGATTGTAACAAAAGCGACAACGAAAATTACGTCGTTTTTTCAGATGAACACTTGCGATATGGCCGAGTAATCGCGTACGAAATGGGAAGACTTTGCCACAATATTCGCAGGCCAAATTTTGCGGTGGTAAATGTGACTTCATATGGATCTGCAACGAAACCTTGTGATGATAACTCTGTTCACAGTCTGTACAACTGTACGGTCGCACACCCTTATGAACATTGTCGTGTTCAGCTAGATAAAATTTGGATTTGAATCGTTTAGGACATTTAGGGCATTGTATGGGTCTAGGATTAGTATGCGAACATCGAATGTGCTTCATCACATCAGATTTGCAAACAAATTTGGCGTTGCAGACGACACATGTATACTGCTTGATACCGAGGTGCGTCTTCACATGAACCGTACACTTATCTCGGCGTTCATAGAATTTTTGACAGAGTTTACACGCATAACCATTCTGTGTTCCATTTACTACATGCTCCACATTATCATCTACCTTAATCTCCTCACCATCAATTTTAAAGAGCTCTTCTGGATTCTGTGTTGCTTCTAGTCGCTGTTCCAATTCCGCTAAATCTTTCAATTTTGCCACAGCACTACTGTTTTTCGACGATGTATTGCTAAGAATGCTATTGACAATACTGTTCACCTCTGTTCTGTTTTCGCTTTGCAGCAAAGCTACGATTGCTGTATCGACTAGACAATAGCCTTGATCAGGAAAAACCCGTGCTCGCGCTGTCGATATCTCATCATTTTGTTTCTTACACAATTCCACAGTAAAACTAATATCTTCGGCATCGTTATTCCGATTTCTTGTCTCCTTCACAGAAACCTCGATATCGGGAGAGCTAGAAACAATTGTCAACAATTTATTCAAAGCTGAAGTCGGTAACTGAATCGTCGATGAATCCTGTTGTTGTTGCTGCTTTGAACATTGTTTATCTGTATTTTCGTTATTGCTATTATTATTTGTAGAACGACTATTATTGATGTTAGTTTCCACATTGTCGTGACTCCTTAATCTATTTGCAATCGGAATCTTTTCGTTGTTTACCGCAGACGAATCTGCGGTTTGCCTGCTTCTAAGCCAACGAGTCGGTGATGATACTGTACTTTGAGTCTGTACATTTTTTCCTGCAATTTCATCATTGCACTTGGAAGCTTGTTGCTGACTACGAAGACTTCTTAAAATCTTCGGAGCTGTATTTCTCTTTTTCTGCTGTTCTAGTGAATCCTTGACTATGTCTTCAGTTTGATTGTTTCTAGTGGAATTAAGATCTTTTTCAATACTGTTGTTATTATCAGACGACGATGTACCCACCAGCAATGCAGATTCTTCATCTTTTACCTCTATCTAAAGAGAAAGTAAATTATAAGCATAAGCAAACAAATATGCCTTTATTTTGATAATAGGCATAAATTTAGAATCAATTAAAAACTCAGCCATTTCTTTGTTCAAGTTTTTATAATACTATAATTCACACAAATATTTTACATTAACTTATTATTTATTTATATTCCTTTTTCAATAATGAATTAAAAAATACATAATAATTTTACACAAAAAATGTTCAATAGTATTGTTGTATTAAAATTATAAGTTTTATTGACAAGTAAAAAATAACAAAATACATTTTGTGAAATACATTACTCATATATTGTTTTAACATATTTAGTTTATGTATATTTTATTGTTACTTGATAGAATTTAAATTTATACTTATGATATATTATGAAACTGATACAGGATAGAAGAATTAATTGTTATAAAATAGCACATTATGACAAACAAATGATAAAAATATACAGAAGACTTACAGACTCTGTTAATGGTGGAAGATTATACTGATCACGCAACACTTGTTGAGTACGCAGACATTCCTCTTGAAAATCACAAACAAATTCAAGTTTACCCAGACATTGAACACAGATCGCTTTGGGAAGAGGATCCTTCTCATCTATCTGTGATTTATAAACAGAAGTAATGTAACAAATTAATAATCAAATTTTTTAAAGTAATCTAATTATCCTGAATAATATATTTTTGTGACCTATTTATAAAAAATAAAGGTTTATTAACCATATGTAATTTTTATATTAATTTTTGTCACTTTTCATTTTCTTTCTAAAAATATTAATCATAATTCATTCTAAAAATATTAATCAAATGTGACTACTTTGCTCTATAGACATAACAGTTTATGACATATCATTAAATTCTGGTTCTTGCTAAACTCAATGTTACTCAATTGCAGCAATAGCTTGAAATTATTGATTAACTAAAAATGAATAATTTTCATTCAGTTATAACATGTAAAAAAAGTTCCATATTCTTCTTTTCAAAAAATTCACACAAAAATTATTTGCACAAATATAAACATAATTTGTATAATAATTATGCAACACAATTATAGACACTTGCACATTTTAAAATTAACACAAATATTTCTCTTGTATATTTAATTATTTTTCATATAGCAATAACAATTTCACAAAAAATTTTGCAAAAATCTTGTTAATAAAGTAAATATATAAAGTAATTATATAAAATATCTATTATTAGTTACAATATTAAAATAAATATTAAAAAATCTGTTATCCCAATAAGATTATAACATGCTAAAAAAGATTAGTATCAAATGTTAATATTTTTGCGAATATCTTTCTATTTCTTCTTGAAATTAAAACACTTTAAGCCCAATCTATAATGTACTTATTGTTTCATGTTTTATATCTTCTTTTTTTACTTTTTGTATATTTGTCGTTTAGAGCTGAGAAACATCGTTATTATAATTTATCTCTTCTAAATTCTCAAAGAAAGGCATTATATTTTACATAAAAATATGCAGTCTAATAATCAAAGTTTATACTTATTCTTCAGAATTCAGTATTATTATTATTATTATTATTATGTGATTATTATTTGCATGCTACTGCAAAACAGGATGAATTAACCTCTTCAATCTAATCTAACCTAAATTATCAATGTTGTGTTGTATAACACAATATTTCTTGTTTTCTGTCGTTTGAAATAAAATCTACAATGTTCTTTATTTTATATTGTCCAGTTTTTCATTTTTTCTGTTGCCTGACATAAAAATTGACAAACTTTAGAAGATACAAGAAACACTTGAAAAGAAAGGCGATCATCTTATAAAACAGTCAAAAAAGGTTAAGAAACAGGAAGCAAATTGTAGATTAGGCTCGCTCCCTCTCCCTCTCTCTAGCATTATCATTAAATATAAGTAGTTACAAATTATTGCAATATATTAGTTGATTAAAACTGCTTAATTTCTTAATAAAAAAAAGAAGTGATGATAAAGATAAATATAAACAAAAGAGACAAAATTAACTTATATCAGTTAGGTTCATAAATCCCAGTGCTTTATTCTTTAATTACATTATGTTAGAAAGCTGTATTCAATTGAATAAATTATTTAAAACATTATACCATACATATCTTCAAGTATTCTGAGAAACATTAAAATCTATAAGCATTGCAAATAATAATTGAAGTAGTTTAGAGAGTAATCATGGTTAAGATTTGTATTTCAACCAAAAGTATCAATATTCCTGATATTGAAAAAAGCCACTCTTTGCATTGATAAACATAAAGCAATATGTAAACTATACAAAAGATAAGATACATTGCATATAAATAGGCATGCTATTATGAAAAAAAAAAAATTGTAGCAGAAAAGAAAAATACCACAAATACGATTGTTTGTTTGTTTAAATTTTTTATTAACACAATAATAAGGTTAGAAAAGAGAAGAGTTTTTAGGATTGAAAAGTATATAACTCACCAAGATATTAATTTTCCTGTGAATCTTGAGACCAAGATAGCGTTTGATACCTTCCTCACCGAATACATCGATGTAGATTTTCTCGTACTGGCCGCAGAGCCTGCACATTTTCGCCTCCCCCTCTTCCACCACATCCATTCTTATGTATTCGTCAGTGCTTGCTTACATACACGTTCGAATACCGCAAGGTGGGAATTGCTGGAAAACCACGCTCGTTGTTTCGTATCACATAGGCAACGCTTTTTCCTCTACCTATTCTTCTACAAATTTGCCTGTTTTTTGTTTTTGGAAGAACGCGACAAAATAAATATTTTTGTCGTTTGTGACGCCAGAATATGAACAGAAAACTGCGAAGAAGGGGCGAAAATGGAGACAACTACACTGGCGTTACTACTTACTACACAATCCAACACAAGACATTCTTGTGGATTCTCGGAGAGTAATAACATTCGAGCCAGACTTCAATCACGTCTACAAACTTCTAAATATTACTCACTACTAGAAGACCTAGGTATCGACAGAGAGAGAAACCTGAGATAGGCAATCCCCCCGGTCTTTTTCCTCCAATGTCCCTAACCAGTGTTACCTATATTCTTCGACCATAAGGTACATCCAGAAGCACGACCGCTCACTAAGCGCTTAATGAGCTTTTTTATCTGATTGGCATATTCTATTAGATCTAAATATATAAACCAAACAGGTACAAGAGCTCACTGAGCGCTCAATGAGCGGTCGTGCTTCTGGATGCATCCAATGAATGTCATGATTGGCTGACAGTCAGCTAATCAGGACGCTAATGGAAAGCAGCCTAGGACTCTAATGCACGGATGTTGGAGCCAAAATGGCGGAATGATTGCGGTATGTACATACGTTATGAATCTAGTGACTTTAGTTTTGAGCGATAAAAAAGTCACGTGACTGGATTGTCGCCAGCGACTAACTTTAATCATGAAAAGGATTTTCCAGCGACGCGATTTAAATGTAGTAGCGTCAGTTGAGGAATTCTATGACAGTTGCTCCAAAATAAATATAATCGTACAATGTTACAATCAGAAAAATGTTATAATTGGATAATAACGGAGTGTGCAAAAATTATAAATAATTATAATATCAGAGAAAGGAGAAGAAGATTAGCGATATCGGCAGTTATTTTTGATTTAGTAAAAAAAAAGGCATCGACCTTATACTAAAAAACAGTTTTGGATTAATCCATTGTTTCAAATGAGATGCGAACATGGGTTTCACATAATATAATTTTATGTTCTTATATATATTTTTTTATTTTTTTTAAATAATATATTTTATAAATAATAGACATTTATATAACCATTAAGAGCTTTAGAAACTTCTTCCCACAAAGCTCTTGTAATTCTGCAATTCCTTTGAATGAGAGGTAATCTAAAATTCCAATAATGGTTCTCTGCATTGGACTTCTAATATTAACATCTCCTCCTCCTCAGGTGGCAGTTTTTCCTTTGCGCTCTTTTGATTTTGGAAGTTCTATTATTATTAATGAATCGAATATTCTCTGAAACAAAAAAAGAAATGTATACAAACATAATATGTATAACTTATTCTCTTTTAATTAAAAACATATATAATAAGAAAAGAGCTAACGAGCCAAATTATTTAAAGTATATTATTCAAGGATAGTAAATAACTGTAAATAACTGTCATTGACATTGATATGACTTATTTATATTATAAGAACAAAAAACTAAAATAAAATATATATATATACAGTACTGGACAAAATAAAGTACGCACTCCAAACATTTTCACATTTATGCAAATATCTCGTCAGTCCTAGCAGATAGCATAATAATGAATCAGGTAAAAGAAAGGTATTTTAGTCTGCTTTGTAATAATGATTATAAAAATTTCAAAAACAATATAAAATCCTTTAATAGTCAAGTCCGTTACATTTATTATCAAATTTATCGTGGACAAAATAAAGTACGCAAGTGAAAAAAA